CAGGAACGGGAGACACTCCGCTGAGAAGGGAGGAAAAGCAGGAAAACAGAGACCAAGTACGTGAAGAAACAAAGTAATAAAGAGAAGGGGAAGAGAGAAGATAAAGTGGTTCCTCCGAGGAAGAAGAAGGCGACAGAGAGGAAACACGGAAGGACTCCACTGATGAGAGAGAGGAGTTGAAAGACCCCCCTCGAGAGACACCGAACAGAGACTGACTCAGACTCTCTCTCTCTCTGTTACATCACAAGGATTTGATGCCCCTCAGCCTGTTCACTTCTGTGTGTTCATGTTTCCCACAGGTTTCTCTTCCCCCAACCCCCCAGCTGCAGCCCAGGAGGTCAGACCTGCCACTGATGGTAATACCAGCAGCAGCTCCTCCTGCAAGAAGAGAAAGTTAAATAACAGCAGCAACAGCAATTCTGAAAGAGAAGAATTCGATTCCATTTCTTCCTGCGCCTCTTCTCCTTCCAAGAACACCTCCTCATCGTCTTCCTCCGTCATCTCCACCTCCTCGTGCTCCTCCTCAGGGGTTGCCTCCTCTAACCATCACCTCCAGAAGAAGCTGCGCTTTGAGGACTCCGTGGATTTTATTGGACTCGATGTGAAGATGGCTGAAGAGTCCTCTTCATCCTCCTCTCCTGCTGCCTCTTCTCAACAGCAGCACCAACAACAGCTCAAAAATAAAAGCCTTTTAATTTCGTCAGTGGCTGTGGGGCACCATGCAAATGGCCTGACCAAAGCTGCCTCCTCTACTGTTTCCAGTTTCGCCAACAGTAAACCTGGCTCCGCTAAGAAATTAGTGATCAAGAACTTTAAAGGTAACAGGCCATAATTTGTCACAACCTATGGGGAGCTGACGCTCACCTTCATGTTTTGTTTTCGATGTGAAAACCGGTTGGCTTTCAAATAGCTCCAAGTTTTACAGGAAATGCTTTTCTGTGGTGAATGTTTCTATGCTTATGTAAAGGGGGAATAATGTCTTATGGTGCATACTTGCCCAGTCATGTACACATCCTGAGCTGCACTTGCTGCTTGGGATTATTTTTTCAGACTCCTTTCACTCTGTCTCCTGAGAAGGCCTTAACTTGTATGTTAGACGAAAGCTTTTACTACATTAAGTGTGTAGATGACCTTTCTTCAAACTTCTAACGTTTGATTCCTCTTTTCTAGTAATCCTAATTCAGGGCTTTTAGTGTGCGTGTGTATGTGTATTTTAGCCCAGTGTACGATAAATCTTTGCACAGATTGTGAGGGTTTTTGTTTTAAAGTTGGGCCCGAATCTATATGCCTTGCATCTATCCATGTTGTCTGTTAATAGGTTAATCTGCCCGTGCTTAAGTTTTAAACGGTGAAACTAAGGTGATTATCAGGTTATTATGGTGGATTTCCTTTCTGGTTTCCCCACTTGCCTTTAATGTAGGTAGCTCTGATTTTTGCTGAGTGTTTTCCTTGCAGTATCCTTGCTTTGATTTTTATTATTTAACTCTCTCTTGTCTTTTTTCTGTCTTAACATACTCTCACTTTACAAGCTTACATTATTTTATAAATTCTCTCAAAAGATGTGTGAGATTTTCAAATATTGTTACTAGAGACCAACTGAAGCAGAGAAATTAAACTTTTCTGTGGTGATGCTGCTTCATTTCCTAGCAAACAAAACCACAAATAGGCAGAAAGCTTGGCTAAACTTCTGTCATTTTTTCCCTATAAAGATGAGGAAATTATGGGCTTTCTTACTTCCTGCCTCTTGTTGTCTTCTAAAATAGTCTGGTAGCTTGCTTTCTTGGGTTGAGTTTCTTTTTCCCCTGTGTGTTTGGGGTTGGCAGGCCGTGAAAGATGTTAACTGACATTAAAATTAATTTCTAAATACACATTTGGTAGAAGTGTTCAGTAGAGACATCACACAAGTTAAGCATCAGGATTCTTCTAACCACCGTGATGTTTTTACATCAGTTCATGATCATAGTGTAACTTCTTGCTCTAAGGTCCTCGTAATCCTCAGAAATGTTGTTCACCTATTATGTCATCATTTAATTTGATTATTTTAAATTTTATAGTTACAATGCATGATAGTGAATAAGTAGAGGCCATTCTTCTGTTGCTTGTACACTGTTATCTTTAAGGGAAGTCAACTTTTCATGTTTAAAATATTTGTTAAATGTCATGGATTGCATGGTGCTGTGATCATCATCGCTTGTGAATTGGTATTTGAATCACTTGCTTAAAAAGGTTGTCTCGGGAATTTGACAGCTTTGCTTTTTATTTACTCTCAGATGCTAAACTGAATACTCATTTTAAGGTTGTCATCTTAGTGTGATTGTAGTAACATACTTCACAACTTAAATAACTCCCTGAAATGCAGAATCATGGTATTTACTGCTGAGTAGCATACTCATTAGCTGCTGGTAAAAACAGGCAAGTCTTACTTGTAGTTAGTTTCTCCGGATTCTTGTAATACAGTTAATGCTGGGATGTTGCCAGTA